TTAAAGCAAAAACCTCTCAAAAAAAAAAAAAAAGAAAAAAACAAGGAACTTTCCATTCCTGAAAAAAAAAGTACTGTAATTTTTTAATCCTAATTTGATTATAACTTATGTCAGAACTTATTTAAAATCTTAGCAAGCAACACATTTTTAAATCATATGTACTGTTCAGTTGTTCAACAATGAAATCCACTCCTTTTAAAAAATATTACTGGATCAAAACAGTTCTTCCTATGTTTTCTGCTGTTGTTGCAAATTCATATCTCTCAGTAAAATTTTTAGCTTATGAAGGGTGGTTTATCTGCCTATTTTTTGATGAGAATATGAGGAACAATTTGTTTTTCTCCGTTCTTTTAAACCTTTCCGAACATGTGTATTTAATATTTAGTATATATGCTCCCTTAGTAAACTCAGTATGTCTACTTTTTCAAAAGCCTCGGACTTTTCCAATTCCTTTCCTACCCAGTTTTCCTGTTGTTCTTATGTGTGAAATATATATTCAGAGCAACAGAGCTAATCAACTAAAATAAAGGGATTGACAGAGTAGAGCAATTGCCCTTGAAGACCCATGGATGGCAAAGCAAACAAGCATAAAACATACCAAATATCTTAAGTATGGGAGGAGGTTCCAATAATTCCTTGGCCATTGACTCTATTTATGAATCAATATCTCATTTGTATAATAATATTTTAAGTTCCAGATGGGCTTAATTCCCTGGAGTAGGGGGAGAAGAGTACATTTTTTTCAACAAAGCTTTAGGTAGGTAAACACATTTATCTATTATAACTCTCTAAGATGTAGGAGTCACTAATTTTCCTTTATGCCATCACATGCGCATGGTCACCAATTCTACATTAGACACTCCCTGCAGGAACATCTTTTTTTTTCTTTTCCTTTTTTTCAGTTTTGCTAGAGGGCAGTTGTGCTTGCCAGAGAGAGACAGGGAGACTGAGAAAGAGAAGGGGAGAGCAAGAAAACTCACCTCATGGGGAATGGTCATGCCACAATCCCTTGTCCTCCATTTCTCCTCTTGGGATTTTGGGTGTGCACACACATGTATCAGGGTGTTGTAGAAACTACCAGGTCCAGAACTCAAACTGCACAATTGGTTATGTGGAATCTGGAAGCCTTAGATATCATGACACTAGCTGGCCTGTTCATCTTTGTAATAATCCAAATCTGCCTTACATTATTGACCTCTGTTGACTCCCTCTTGACCACAATATAAAGCCAAATTTCCTTAGTATGACTCTTAATCTTATCACAAGTGAACTCCACATAGCTTTCTAACTTTGCCTTCCATCACTCATCCTACTGTATTATACAAACACCCTTGTCTCCAGAAGCAATAAATTTATCTTAATTTTCATGATTTGTTTTACTCTTTCTTCTTTCTTTCTTTCTTTTTTCTTTGTTGTTTTTCTGTTTGTTTGTTTTTTTGTTTGTTTGTTTCATTGTTTCCAGAGTGTGTGTGTTTGCTAGAGAAATACATTGGCCATACAGATGTACTTGTCAGAGAGTGAGAGATAAAGGGAGAAAACCCAACGTTCCCTCCCCCAATGAGGCATGGTTATGCTGCAATCATGCATGCATACACATCCAGCATGTTGTTTAAACCACCAAGGCCAAGATTCAAACCTTGGTCTGCCAATCAGAACCCAGCTCCCTTAAACACTGGGCTATGGGCTGACCCTGGTTTGCCTTTTCATAATAATTCTTTATTTCACTTGGTTGACTCTGCCTGATGTGCCTTCTCCCATTATGCCACTTCTGAAAATGAACATAAGTCCTTTAATACTTCAAGATGTTGCCTCTTCTATGAAGACATTATCACTTTTATTAGTTGATTCAAGTAGAGTTATTTGATACCTCAAATGTACTTGCATATCATCATCCTTACGTTTATGTTAGTATTTACTACATTGCATTAGAACAGTGTTTTTCAAACCTATCCTCATCAAAACATGAGTTTATCAAAGATCAGGACTACAGTCTTTTAATCACTGCCTTGAGAAACTGGCATAGTGCATAGAATAAATTAAATTTAAATAATAAATTTAAATTAAATTAAATTTAAATAATAAATTAAATTAAATAATAAATTTCATTAATGATTATTCAATGAAGGAATCATTCATGGGATATCTGTTAGCATTGCAAAGGCTGTACCTCCACAGTGCATATGTTGTATGAAAGAATCAATAATGGCCTGTTCATGATCATTATGATGGCTCTGCTCATACAATATAGTTATACTTTGAATGACTGTCCAAAAAAATCTTTCTACTGAAATCCCTTTCCTCTTTCAATTACTTCAAGTCCCAAATCTTTTAAGATAGGCAATGCTGTACTTTGGACTTTGGGCTATAAGTCACCAAGTGTGCCATAGTATGGAGAGGTTTGGGAGTTTTCTAGACCTATTTTAAATTTTGGTTCGGCTATTCAGGCAATATATGACTAAGGAATATGCTGTTTCCTCCACTGACATATAGATTGATGTAAATATTAAATAGTGTTGGGATCAGCAGTTAGCGTAATGGCTATGTCGCTGGACTCCCATATAGTCAACCGTGGTTC